GGGGGGGGGGGGGGGGGGTAACCTGTGGAAAAGTATCGTCCACATTGCTGTAGATCTGTGCGTTGACACATACGGTAACCTGCTCCAGCACACCTACGAACACACACCTTTTCCTGCCAAACCCAATCCAGTGCTTGATGTGTGTTTCCTGCTTACGTCCATTCTTCTACATTTCCATGCTCTCCGTCCTTGGGACGAAATCCAATCCGATACCAGGTACTTGTTTCCGTGCTTGCCCCATGTCATACCCAATTTGATGCTTGTTTCCCTGCTTGCCCATGTCAATTCCAAAACGATGCTTGTTTCCCTGCTTGCCCATGTCATACTCAATACGGTGCTTGTTTCCTGCTTGCCAATATTTGGACGCGAAACCTGTGCGCTCCCCGTAGCTATCGGCGACACGGTGACCGTGTGGTGCTTCTTGGACTTCGTGCGTGCCAAGTCCAACCAGGCGGCCTTCACGTCTCTCTCGAGAACTCAGGTACGTACTGAACATCCCCTTTTTGTTTCGGCCTCAGTCAAGTCTGTATCGTCGGGGTTTTTCCCCATCTCTATCAGCCGTAGGTAGTAGCAGCCCTCTCATCGGAAACTAGACATCACGCAGACTTTGCAAAAACATTATGGTGTGGGGCGAACCCTATCGTGTACAATGTAGCATGTTTTAGTGCGACCCCCTCCCGTTCAGGGAGATGTTTGAGGCATGGAATAGCGAGGAAAAGACGATATTCTTACTGGGGCATAGGAAGCGGGTTGAAAAGGCGGGAAGTGATAGCGATAGGATAGACAGACTGGGGAAGACATTTTTGAGCCGCCTTTGGCAAAGTAGGAAGGAACGATTGGCCATCGGTGATCGGTCCCGTGGGAACAATGCTCCGTCCTCTCAAGGACGCGTGGTCAATGGTCTAATCGCTAAGGCATGCGAAACATAAGAGCACGCCCCCCCCGTTCTGGCGTGCTCCGTCCCGGCTTTGTAGGGATGCGAGGTCAATGGTCTAACGACTACGGCATGCACGACTATGAGTACACCCCCCCCCCCCCGGTGTTTGCCTATCGGGATTGGGTTTTCGTCGCTTGGCAACGACGTTGTAAAACAAGCCAATTCACTTCGTGAACTCGGCAACCAGGTTACCGTTTTTTTTTTTTTCCTCCGTTTATTTTTTTTGGGCGGTAACCATAATGATGGTTGAGTAGATCATGTTGTGCGGGGTGAACCCTCACTCCGCGCAAGGGGGATGATCGCACCACGTTGTGTTAAAATGGTCAAGCACCCTCGAGGCAGTTACACAGTGCTTACAACTGTCTCTGGAAGTGAAAGCACCAGAAAATAAATTAATTCATACGCAGCTGTCATCCGTACGCAAGGAAGTAAGCACAAGATGCCGAACACCCTTAGCAGGATGCAGCGCACCCTTCATGCGACTCGCCGAATATCTCACGGCGCTTCGCGCTTGGTGATGTGAGAGCCTGGTCCGGTGAGAACCCGGCGTGCTCCGTCCCGGCTTTGTAGGGATGCGAGGTCAATGGTCCAACGACTACGGCATGCACGACCGTGAGTATACCCCCCCCGCCCCCCCGAGGTCAGGTCTAACGACTACGGCATGCACGACTATGAGTACACCCCCCCGTTCACCTTGTCCCTTTCTGCGTATCCCCTGTTTGAATCTTTCCATCGGTTCACCGCCTCGTCGCACACACTCCACCGCCGAGCAGAGCTTCCAATAACACCGAACGAATACCCCCCACGTGTACGCGTCCCCCCTTTTGCGGCCCTCCATAACAAATCCGTACATACCTCGCCCCTTCCAGCGAGCCACCGCCGGCCGCGATGCCTCCCGCTCCAGGAGAGCCTCTGGAGGGGGCCCCGCAGCACGAAGAGGACGGGGGGGTGACGACGCATTGCCGCCGGCGCCCCCGACGTCGTCGTCGAACGGCGACGGCTCAGCGGCGGCGGCGGCGGCGGCGGACCCCGAGTCAGCGGTCGGCGGTAAGGCTCGCGTCCGCGTCCGCGTCCGCCAGGCGGTGGCGCGGTGGCAGCGCAAGAACGCGGAGATGCTCACCGCCCTCCGTGAGGGTGAGGGCGGTGGGTCTTCTTCGTTGGCCGTGGCTACCTCCGCCTAAGGGGGGAGGGGGGGGGGGGGGGGGGGGGGGGGGNGGGGGGGGGGGGGGGGGGGGGGGGGGGGGGGGGGGGGGGGGGAGGAGACGGACGGGAGGGTCAAGGGCTGGTTCGATTGAGAGGCAGTGAGTGGAGGAACGCAACGCCGCTGCTGCCGCCGTTTGCCCGAACGCGGGCACTGCCACCGAGGTTGTGCTCTAGATGCCGTCATCTCATCCCGAAAAATAGTAGGCGGCCAATTTTTCTCGAAAGAATATGCGACCCCTTTTTCTGTGTACCGAAGAGAGCACTGGTGTGCCCCGAGGACGGGGAGTCCGTTGTTTGCACTGTGCCGGTCTGGCCTGCTCTCGAAGGCATCAAACCGACGGCGAAATCACAAGCGTGAGTATCCTCGGCTGCTGGGGACGTCGGATAAAACGTCGGCTCGGGATCATGCGGAGGTCGAATTGTGTGTTTGATGTTCCTCAGCCGTGGGACAGCAAAGTAGTACAGCTATGTAGTCGTCCCCGCTTTTAGGACACTCACGGTTTTCTTCAAAAACGGCGTTCTTGAAGCGGTGAAGTGTCGAAACCTCCCCCCATGTTGTTTGATTCTGCGGGACGCCATGCTTCTGAAAAGTATGGAGTCTCTAAGGCCGCGAGAAATGCCTTGTTCGTTGTCCTTACGCGGGGATAACTGCTCTGCTTTAGTGAAAGCGGTGTCCCATGTGTTGAACGCTGCGGCGCACACCTTGTCCAAGCGTGGCGAGCCCACTCTCCCGTGGTCGTTGTAAGAATAAAGTCGCAGAATCTCTAGTGCAGCGCGACGCCATGTGTGTGGTGATTTGTTCTCGTGTCAGGTGCCGGCGGTGTTTTTTTTCTTCTTTACGCGGCGTTTCTGCACGTGGATGCATGCGCGGTGCTATTTTTTGCGCGATCTTCTTTTAGAAGATTGTTCTTGTTTTTTAGCTGTGTTTTTTCGTGATGGGTGTTTTTCTCATGTCAAGCTTCGTGGTCGTGACGTACAAGTACTACATGGGTCGATGGTTTTGGTGACGTACAAGACGGTGGGGGCCCCGCAGACTTTAATACGAATTTGTTTCCCTTGAGAATGACCATGCTCGTTTTTCAGGGGAGAAATGCAGTCGTCGACAGGGAAGAGTACTACCCATGGTACTGGTAGGAGGCGCGATGCTGGGTTTCCAAGGCGTCATTATTTGCGAAGGAGCAGTGCCAGCCGCCAAAAGGGAGAGCTACAATGTAGGGGTAGGTTTGCAAGGAGGAGGCAACGATCCGTGGAACGGTCCGTACAACGGTCCGGCCCGCCCGTGGGTGTTGTAGGCGAGGATACCCCCCATCCGCCCAGCCACCCACGCGGAGCGAGGGTCGTTTTTTTTGTCATGCCCTGTTTTTTTCGCTTTGCAATGCGTCCATCCAGGAGCCGTTCGTGTGATCCGTGTGCCCGGTATCTATCGTGGTTTGTTTGGTTTTGTTTTGGACGTTGTTCGAGTGTTGATCGCTCCGTGGAGGAAGCCGTGACACCCACACGCCACCCGAAATCTCGTCCTTTCGTCCACGAAACGTTTTACGGCCGTCGTTATCCCATCGAGGAAAGTTAGCCGTCTTGAAGAAACCGATATAAACAACAGTGTGCCAGATTAGCGGTAGGTTGCAGCTTGCACCGGGGGATAAGATAGATTATCAGCACCAAGTTAAAGTGTTAGCTTTTGTTGTTGGTTTGTGGAGAGCTTACAGTAACACTAAGATGTGAAAGGCTTGCTGCTTTTTGCCCTCGAAGGCGTGGGGGNGGGGGGGGGGGGGGGGGGGGGGGGGGGGGGGGGGGGGGGGGGGGGGGGGGGGGGGGGGGGGGGGGGGGGGGGGGGGGGGGGGGGGGGGGGGGGAGGGGAAGGGGGCGTACTCTCATGTTTTGCATACCTTAGCGGGGAGGGGTACACAGGCAAGTATTCCGTAGCTCAACGCGTGTGTTCGAATAGTAGTAGCAACAGGATAGGCCGTGGGTTTCGCCGCTGTCAATTCTCTCTCTCTCTCTCTCTCTCTCTCTCTCTCTCTCTCTCTCTCGCAGCCGCAGCGAATCGACTCGTAGTGAGGTGGGTATGACGCACACGAACCTGACACACAACAACTAATAATTCACTTAACTAACTAACTAACTGTGTCGTTTTCGATCGTTGTTTTCGGTGGATATATATAGTGAGTGCCGGCGCCGGGGCGATTCGAGCTCGGTGGTTGTGGTGTTGTGGCGCGCTTAGTTAGCGTCGTACTTGGCGGGAGGCATCCGGGGCTGTTTCAGCAGCCTTGGCGAGGATATTTAAGCTTCGCGGGTACGAGATGAGGTTGGGGATAGGGATATGAAACCACCCTCTCTAGACTAGATGTCGTTATTATAGTCTAGATTAAGCAATAAAATCCTGGGGACGACGGCCGGTAGTTGTTCTGGCGATCGATCGACGATGCGGCCGGCTTTATTTTTGTATCCCTCCGTGGATGATGTTTGATCAATTGTTTCTGTACCGAACAAATGAAGAGAAGACATGCAGCAGTAAGTAGTAGATATCCCTGTTTAGTGCCGGTAGCATAGATATGTGCCCAGAAGGTTCACCGGGCCGACTCTCTACCGGGCAGGCACTAAATATTATTCAACCGCGGCACTAAACTATACATAAAAACTGGAACTTCGACGACACTACGATGTTGCTACTGTAGACTACTGCATGCACCGGTAATATTTTACTCAAATACTTGATTCAGTTCATCCATCCATTATAATTAGAAAGACAACGTTTGGTTTACGGACCTACCTATAATGAGAAAAGCACTCCCGTTTCCTATTCATGAGCAGCATGTGAGTGGAAAAGAGGGGCGTGCAGAGCGGTCCAACGGGGGTCTAACAGGGACCCAGAACAGAGATAGGGTGCGCACCGCACAGTCATTTGATGCCGCACCGCGCAGTCAGTGTGTGTTTGTGTCATGTGTGTTTTCGTCCTATTTACTATGGCGACAGTCTCTCCATTCTTCGTGGTGAGATCTGTATGTACTACATTTATTTATTTTTCAGCGGATGGATGTAGAGTACACTACAACCATCCAGGGTCAAACAGGAGGGGGTAAACACCAGGGCTTTTCCCACTTTTTTTTATTTCTTTCATGCCCCACCTTCCTCCTGCGGTGCGTGCTGAATTTTATTTTTATCGCGACAAGGGCCCACGGAGCCATCCCTTTCCCTCGTCAACGGTGCTAACGTCGAAGTTTGGTTCTCACGAGAGCTTTTCAGCTGTATTTCGCTTTCACCCACACATTTTGTAATTTTTTTACCCCATGGGGATTCGAACTCACGACCTACGGGACTAGCGGATTACGAGGATACCACTAGACAACCGGAGTGACCGGAGTTCATCAGTAGTATTTTAGATGCAGACACAAAAAACTAGTTGTGTCATATTAAGAAAAAAAAAAAAACTAGAGACTGTAGGGCGCGCAGACTTCCTCTGACCGTGTGATCTCATGGTGTTAGTGTTGCTTGCGGAGGCGTTTTTGATTTCGAGAACCTCGCTGCGAGGTTCTGGAAAACAGAGCTCTGTCTCCACAGCAGTCGCCAAACGAGCATCTATTCTACGAGCTGCTGTTCTTCGTTTCCGAAGGTAAGGGTTAGGGTTGAAGGGGCACACCCGGTGCAGGCATCGGCTGTGCCGTCTAGTCGTGGTCGAGTTTCCGTAGCCCGTCGAGCCGAGGGATGCAAACGCCTCGCCCTGGCCCGCTGGTCCAGTCAGCAGCCGTAGAAAATTAGCCAGCAGACAGCCGGTGGACCTGCGGATCGGCAAAGGGGAGAATGGCTGCGAATCTTGTCGGAGAACGATAAACGAGTTTGGTGCTCAACAGTACACCGGTGCAACTACTATCCGTGCCTGGGTCTAGGGTGTTGTCCAGTGCGTTGTTTTCAATAGCGTTTGTTCTGCGGCGCTCGAATTCCAGGCCCATAAAAACGTATGATGTAGGTGGCGTTGCGCCGTTCACCCTCGTCGGGCGTGTATCCTTTTTTGCTCGTTCGGAGGGCGGAGCCTTGCTTGATAGCCGAATGGATACGGAGGCCCCACGTGACAGATGTCACTGCTGTATAAACGTGCAGAAAGTTGGGTCCTGTTGGCTGTCACCCTCGTCATGATGGTGTTCGTTTTGGTATTCAAAAGGTGCCCCCGACACAGCAGCAGAAGCGGCGATGGAGGCGGGTCTACCACAGAAGCTTACGTACGTCCTTAACGCTGCTTGCAGCTGCTGCGGTCTGGCCGCTTCTCCCGTCTCAATCCTGCCGGTGTGCTCTCTCATGCCCTCTCTCTCTTCCTTCTTGATCTCTCGTGAAACCACGTCCATGGTGCAGTTGTTCTGGCTGCGCCCTGTCTGCTTAGAAGGTGATTGCTGCTCCTTTTCTCTCCGCACTCCGTTGCCCGTTGTCGTGGAACGTAAAGCCCGTTACAAACCCAATCCGTTCACGCACACGGGCGTTGTTCTCGCCGCTGTTACTTTTTTTTTTCCACCTGTACTTTTGCCAGTGCTCATCAGGCTACGTAGTATCTTGGGCATTTCTTGGGAATTTGTGTAGCGAGCTTGAGGAAGTGGCCGCACAAAAGATAATGGTCAACCTGCTGAACGTGAGCACACTTCAATCTTAGTTGCTTGCGAGACGTGGCTCCTGGCTACACACCAGAGAGCAGTGCGGGTCCACCCTCCCCCGAGTTCTGCTGCCGAACTGCAGTTGAACGGCACGCCGCAGTAGGGTTGTTAATTCGCCATCATTGCGATCAACCGTTACTTTTGTGTTTTGGTGTTTTGATTTTGCGCATTTAGTAAAAATAATTTGGGGACGCGATACTAATCAATCATCCCACTCGAAATCGACATGTGCTTGGGCCGGCCTGAGTTTCGTGAGAACGAACCGGTGTGCGGCGGGATAAGATAAGCATCACCGCCGGGTAGATTCGGGTGCATGAGTCCCTTGCCACATTACCCGTGTCTGCGGGGATGCAATGTTCTCAAAGCTGGTACATTCACGCCTAATGCGATAGCCGCCGGTACACTGTACGCGGACTCTAAATTTATGCGTAAAATAGCAGCGCCGAGTGCTCTGCTTGTTTACCCATGCATATGCATGTGTTGTTCCACCACCCCAGCATGATGAGGAATACGCGGCTACCCATACCTGCTGCGGTTGAAACATGTACATTGTAGACTCGATGCGTGGCATATCACCGAGTGTGCGAGCATGCTCTGTTGTGGGTTGTACATGTGTTTACCCATGACAAACACAGCGGTTGTAACGGAGCACAGCAGTAGTGTACAGATTAGCACTCACCTAGACTGTGGCGCACCCGGTCTACCCCGGCACCCCCCCCCATCGACGAGTGCAAGGTGGAGACAGCAGTAACCATGCCATTCTTCGCTAGTACAGCTCAAGCAGGCGAAGAAAAATCGGGCCGAAAGTCACAAGGCGATGTAGCTCTAAAGGGGTTACGTGCAGGCGCTAGCTGCTAAGGTCCTCGCATTAGCATGAGCTTGACGTACCAGAAAAAGACAAGTCAGCGCATCTTGGGTTTCGCGCTCTTCCATTGCGATGCGGCGGGCATCCGCTTCTCGTAACAAGCAACCCGTTTCTGATGCCACACGTTGTCCTCAGGGCAACACCAGCCAAATGTTTTCTTCAGGGCAAAACCAGCCAGGCGTTTAGCCACTACATTGAACACATGTTTTTTTTTTCGTAAACGTGTGTATCGCAGTCTCGTTGTGCTCTTTTTCCTTCCTACCGCAACATGTAGTGCTTCTGACAAGCCCGGTCACCCACTGCATTTTTGAACGAACATGACCCTTGTCGTTCTTGTCCTTTTGTACATGTACATGGCCGTTTGCTTTGCTCTTGTTGCTTTGCAGTACCATTGGCTACGTCCAGTGCTTCGGACAAAACCGTCAACCGCTACATTATCGAACATGGCCCATATCGTCGTTGTTCTGCGCATGTACGTGCCCGCCCTTTTTTTTTTTTTTCCTATCTCAACGTGCAGTCGGCACAACACTTCTACCCGGAGAGAGCAGCTAACCGGACGGACTAGACGCCCTTGTGTGCTGTCACCAACTTCGTAGCGAAAGCGGGCGATAGAGCACTATGTCGGTGATTGGGATAGACTTTGGGAATGACACCTGTGTGATCGGGATGGCCGCCCGGGGGGGCATCGACATCATCCTCAACGAGAATTCGAACCGAAGGAACCCTACCCTGGTGAGCTACTATGCGTACGTCAGTCACGTCATTTCAGGCAGAGGCGGGCAGGTCAGGAGGCGATGTCCATGTGCGTAAAGGAGGGGACAAGTCTGTCAGACGCACACGTCGAGAAGCGATGCGTGTAAAGCAGCAGGAGAGAAAGTCACCCAGGCAACATTAGTCAGACGGACTGCCAAGAGTGCGAGGTCGATGTATTGAACAGGAGAGCAGAAGTCAATCAGACAGAAATGTCAAGACGGGATGTCCATGTTTGTGAAGCAACAAGAGAGGAACAGGTTGGCATTCAAGTGAGCCAGTTACGTCAAAAGTATGTATGTAATGGAGATCTTTCCGTCGGTCGAATCAGTCATGCTTGTGAGACAGGCATGTCAAGGTGCGATGCGTGTAAGGCAGCAGGAGTAGCGTCAGACTTGTCAATTCAAGTGTAACGGGACGGAGAGAAGTCAGCAGTCATGTCATTCCAATCGCTCAGTCAGACATGTTGAGAGGCGTTGCGTGTCATGCAGGCGTAGTCCAGAGGCGATGCCGATGCTTGACAGGCAACAGGACGGAGAAAAAGTCAGGGGGACGAGATGCGAAGCCGAGAGACAATAGTCCCGATCGTTATGCAGCGCTTTTTGCCCAGCAGCAGGATGTGGCAGGTTGTCTTACTTATTTGTTTTATTTTCCCAAATGGCAGGTCTCTTTTCAGGGGAAGCAGCGGCTCATGGGCGAGGGCGCCGCGAGCATCGCCCGCAGCAACTTCAAGAACACCGCGCGGGAGGTGAAGCGGCTTGTGGGCCGCGTGTGGGGCACTCCGGACCTCGAGGCCGACCTCGCTCGATTGCCCTTCAAGTGCATGTGAGAAGAACGTTGAGCAGGAAGGGGGACCGACCGCCTCGGCGAGAATTTATTAAGTCATTAAGCGAGATAATAGAACAGGGCAGGGGGGGTACGCAGATCGTCTTATTCTTGGCCCCTGTACCCAACTTACCCACTTGCATGCTTTTGTCTGACATGTCTGCGTAATAATGGGATGGATGCCAACCAGGGGGGGGGTGGATCGGGGAAGGAGTGGGGTTGGGGGAGAGGAGAACACCACACAAAGAGGCTGGATAGCGCCCGTACGGATGGCAGTCAAGGGAGGTCGTGTGCATAAATCTATATCATATCAAAACAGGAGAGCTTGACCACCATTTGTTAGCCCCGGTTAAGGATCCCGCGTCCATCTCGGTTAGCCGGCGAAAACCCGGCGTTTCGCTCCGTCCCCGCATGCGAGTAGTCCGAAAGTGTTCACAGCCTTCATTTAATGTGTACGCACTGAGTATTTTCTTGCACGACCCCTTCAGCTACATTCATTATCGTACCCCCGTACGTCGCTCAGTGCGTCACCCCCCCCCNCGTCCCCCCCCCCCCCCCTACCCTGCGTTTTGTACTTTGAATGTTTCAGCCAGCATCCGGAAACCGGGGGCGTGGGCATCGAGGTTAACTACGAAGACTCGATCAAGGTCTTCACGCCAGAGCAAATCATCGCGTGCATGCTCACAAAGGTGCGGCGTGCTGCTGGTCTTTGTAGGTGTTGGTCTAGACTTGTGCGATGTCATCGTGGGTGCTTACTTTTGTGCTGCGGTGGGGGGGGGGCGTCTTGGCGTGCGGCTTGTCTGCGCGCGGTTGGGCGTGCGTCCCGACAGTGTGGTGCTGTTTCCATTGCTTGTTGTGTCTTATGTCTCTCTATGTCTATCGCGCGCTCTCTCTGTCTCGGTCCGTCTTAATCTGTTTTTCTTTCTGTTTCTCTCTCACTGTCTGTCTCTCTCTCCCACTCTCTTCATCCCCACACACCCCGCTTCCTTTTTTCATGTACTGCACCTGTAGGCGTCCAGCACTGTTTTTCGTTGTTTGATATCGGCCCGATATGATCTACGTGAGACACGCTTACCTTTTAACAATTCCGCCTATACGTTCCTTGTCGACGCTCATCCTTGCTTACCACATTGCTTCGGGCTGTTTGCCTGCGTTTGTTTGCACCAGTTGATCGCGATCGCAAAGGCGGCCAACAACGGCATCGATGTGGCGGACACTGTAATGGCCATTCCCGGTTGGTATACGGATGCCATGAGGAACGCGATGATGGTGAGAGTGTGTTTTCGGTCGAGACTGTTTTCAGCCTTCTGAAGGCGATAACGTTTTTGATTGAGATCCGTTTCAGCATGAGGAATCGCCGTAGTTTGACGTGTCGTGGTTGAGATTCCGCTTTGCACAAGGAAAGGCAACAGTGCTCCGGCTTGAGAATCATGTTTTAAGCATTAGGGACGCGGTGATTTGAGTGTTTTGGTTTTGAAGTCGGAAGATGAAACCGGACGCTAACAAGGCAAGGTGCATTTTTGCTCTTGTGACCCCGGGTGATGCGTCTAATGAGTACCGCCAAAACCGGCATTTGGCGGTGACGGCAACGCAGGCTATGGGTTAGATGAGCAACCGAGGTATCGCGAGGAACAGAGATGGCAAAAGATATAATCGTTCCCAGCGCTGTCAAGCAATATAGAGGCAATATATGAGACATTCAGATGCGCCGTCTCACTCTTGAAATGCCAGCCTGTTTCCACAGGAAAGCATAGAAGAAGAGAGTTTTCACAGGATTGCAGAGACAAGAAAGTGCTCTGTTGAGATCGTTCAGTCGTCAGCCCGCAGCTGAGAAGACGTGGGGGAGGCCCCCAACCCAGCCGTATCTCTGTGGATCGTCTAGCCTGGTGGCATACCTCCCGACAGGCTAGCCCTATGTAGCTTCTCTTTTTTTTTCTTTCCCTTTCACACGCCATCACCACGCGATGAGTGCATCCCTCGACATCATTGACATGGCCACGGCTACGCCCCCCACCGGTCCCGAAGAAACCGGGAGGAGCGTCGTCGCCATCGTGAACGAGCACAACCCTCACCTGTGGCAGTCCGAGAAAAAGTTTCGCGATGATCCGTGCGGGCGGCAGCACGCTGCGCCCTACTTCCGGCGCCGAGCTCGACGACCTGCACAGCCTCTGCATCGATCGTGCTGGCGAGGGTGGTGAAAAGGCTATGTAGGTCGTCCAGTTCTGTGCCGGGAGCAGGGCGCAGCGCGCCGCACGCGCGGTTGTCGGAACTGCATGCCACACGTGGACGTTGTGCTCGTTCACGATGGGGACGAGACGCCCTCACCGTCCCGCTGGCAGTGTTTAACGGTCGGCCACTGCTGTTGCATGCATGTGTGAATTTGCTCAAGCATAGTGTTTCGTTGACGATGGGATTGTTCAAGCCCGACAGAGACTGCTTTTTTTGCTGTTGCAGAAGGCAATATTCACTGTTATCGAACCTTCTGTTGAGTTGTTGTTAGCAAGGAGTCCACTTTTTTTTGTTGCGGCAAAAATAAGAAAGGCGAAAACAAAAAAAAATACCGACAACTATTCCTCTTCTTCTTTTTTGTTCATAGCATGCGCGTGGTCGGGATTCCTCCAAGTTCTCCATCTCGTTTCTCCGTGGCTTGATGCTGACGCCGGTGTCTTTTCACCTGTATCCCCTTTCATGTCCCTTTTATTGTCGTTTTGAGTCATGTGCAAAACGCATGTTCGATAGGAGGCTTTTCTGACGTCTGTGTCTTCTGATCTGTATCTCTCTTCTTGGTCCCTCTGTTGTTCCTTCTTTTTTGTTGTTGGAATGACGTGAAGAACGCGTGTTTGATCGGAGGCGTGAACTGCCTCCGTCTCATCCACGAGCACACCGCCACGGCGCTCGCGTACGGCATCTACAAGTCGGCCAAGGGGGAGTTCTCCGAGAAGGTGACTTGCCCTAACCAATCCTAACCAGCCCCAACCCTAGCCCTAACCCTAAGAAGTCTACCCCAAGTCGGTCAGGGGGAGGAGTTGTCCGATAAGCCTGTCTCGTGGTGTTTTTTTTTTTTCAGAAACTGGCTTTCTCATGTCGCCTGATGTTGGGAGGTCGACACCTGAGGGAACCAGATATTGTACGTGCTGCACGCCTCTTTGACCGGTAAACAGCCGTTGGCAATGTTTTACACGTGTATGCGTTGCTCGCTCATCCTAGTCGCACGCGCTGCACGCCTCTTGTCTCGCCAACCCCTCATCTTTGCAGAGTTCGCTTTGTTTCGTGCGTTTTATTTGTTATCCCTGATCAAGTCTCATCAGTCACGTGGCGTTTGGCGAACACCTTGCTGCATTATTCGTCTTGTTTTTTTTTTTGCGCGCGCCCTTACAGGAGCCTCAGTTTGTACTGTTTTTGGACGTCGGGCACTCTAGCTTCAGCGCCTCGGTTGTGACCTTTGTTCAGGTGAGTTGAGCCATCGATGCAACGGCCGTGCCAGCGGTAGTTACCGACATGGAATTGTATTTGTTGTTGTTGGTGGTGATGTTACAGTTGCCTGTTGCTATGTTTTTGTTATTGTTAGTGGTGCTGTTGTGGTTCTTGTATTTGTTGTGACGGTTGTTGCTGTCGCCGTTCACAGCCAGCACTTGTTATCGACAATGATTTATGTTGTTGTTGTTGTTGTTGTTGTTGTTGTTGTTGTTGTTGTTGTTGTTGTTCTTGTTCTTGTTCTTGTTACTGTTGTTATTGTTGTTGTTGATGTTGTTGTTGATACTGTTGTTTCCTGTCGTTTATGCTGTTGTTGTTGTTGGTGGTGGTGGTGGTGCTGTTGGCGCTGTCATCTTTGGTCTCGTTGCAAGATAGCTCTTGTTGCTATCGCTGTTCACAGCTGTGGTGCCGCCCCGCCCCCCGGCCGGTGCCCCGACGTGGCTGTTTTGACCAGCCCTTCGCTGACTCGAAGACGACAGTGCCCTCTCCACGTGCTTGTTCCTCCCACCGCGAACAAGCCTATCCTCTACGTTTAACTCTTTGTTTCGATTAACTCCCGCAGGGCTCGTTGACGGTGAAAAGCGCGGCGTTCGACAGCAATCTCGGGGGGCGGGACATGGACTGGGCCATCGCACAGCACGCAGCCGACGAGTTCAAGGCCAAGACCGGGAAGGTAAGCAGAAGGGAACAGGTAAACGCGCCCGCGCTCAAGAACCTCAAGCTTTGGTCGAGGTCCCGCCCATTCCGTCATTTTTGTCCTGAGGAAGCACAGGCGCTCCTGTGACATTACCTGAACGACCAACGTGTGGAGACTCGACAAGTGGGGGGTGGTAAGTGTGTGTCGGACACACTCTTACCACCCCCCACTTGGCGAGATTGGACACGTCGGTCATTCAGTTATTGTCGGAGGCGCGCCTGTGCTCAGGTGGCTCGGAAGCTTGCTTGATAGTGGGCCTGGTCTTGAGATCCATACTCGGGTGATTCGGCTCAAGTGTTGAAGTATCTTCTGGGGCTCCAATCTTTTACGCAAGATCCTGTTGTGATTGCTGAGGGTACGATTCTCTCCCTCCGTTGCAAATCAAACCAGCATGAGCACGCTCCAACTCCGAAATAATCCGTGGCTCAATCAAGTAGCCCTTCGCATACAGAACCGACACGCATTCAAGAAAGTCTGGGGCTCCAATCTTTTACGCAAGATCCTGTTGTGATTGCTGAGGGTACGATTCTCTCCCTCCGTTGCAAATCAAACCAGCATGAGCACGCTCCAACTCCGAAATAATCCGTGGCTCAATCAAGTAGCCCTTCGCATACAGAACCGACACGCATTCAAGAACGTGACAGGTAAGGAATTGAGCCTCATCATAATTAATGTAGAACTTGTTGTGTGCCCTGCTAAGAACCCCTACACCAATATATAAAGACTAGAAATTAAAAACTATGTTGTTTTGAGGGCAACCGAACACTGCCTTGGCAATGAATATTTGTTGTGTGTTTTTCTTTATTTTGTTGGCTTTTTTTATTTTCGATAGGACCGAAGAAAATTGATGGCTTCAAAATCCACACCACCGACAGATAAAGACCTAACGCAGTATTTGCAGCGATTCGTTTGTCCATTTCCATGGCAACAACATCACTTGCGATGAAACACAGTGCAAGTCTTGCATTATTTGTTCATGGCTGGGTGAAATTCGCACACGAGGAAACGTCGTGTCTGGAGCAATTCGTAACTCAATATGTAGCAGTTCCCCAATCAATATTGATGGCCGTGAAGTCACTGGCGATGAAACACAAAATGCATGGTGGCGCGTTGTTTACTTGTTCATGGCTGGGTGACATCCGCGCACGACGAAACGTCGTGTTCGTAGCAATTCCTTATCCTTATCCAACTTGGAATTATGTAGCAATTCCTTACTCAATGGCCGTGAAGTTACTGGCGATGAATCACAAACAATCCACCGTGTTGCGTCACTTGTTTGTGCCGGGGTGAAATTCGGACACGACGAAACAGGACCCGCGCACGAACCCTAAGGCGCTCTTGAAGCTCCTGGAGGCCGGTGAGAAGGCGAAGAAGCAGCTCTCTCCGATGGGAGTGACAGACGCGCCGATCAACATCGAGTGCCTGTGGGAAGACGTGAGTGCCTTCATTAAACGCTGGGTGAAGTCCTTACGGCAGGGTTCCTTGGTAGTAGTGCTTTTGTCTGGCATAGTGCCGGGAAAACGCGAGTGTCTTCATCGACGCTGTATGAACTCCGCACGGCAGGGTTTCTTTGTAGTTCATATGTCTGACAGTGCCGGGAAGACTTGCGAGTGTCTTGATCAACGCCGTATGAACTCCTTACGGCAGTTTTTTTTTGTGGTGCTCATGTCTGGCATAGTGCCGGGAAGACGTGAGTGGCTTTATCGACGCCGTTTGTTGTGAAACTCCCTGCGGCAAGGGGATACTCTGTTGTGCTGGGAGGACTTCAGTACCTTTGCGGCACAACTCCTTGCGGCGGAGAGGTTCCCTTGTGGTGCTGATGCCTGGTAAATGCTGGGAAGGCGTGAATGTCTTTGATCAACGCCGTTTGGCCCTCTTTCGGCAATGCCTTTGTAGCGCTGATGCCTGGTCAAGAGTGCGGGGAAGGCGTGAATGTCTTTGATCAACGCCTTTCGTTCTACAACGCCCTTGTGGCAGCAGTCCACAGAGCAGAATTCCCTCTAGGGTGCCGGTGTCTGGTATGGTGCGTGTAACGTTTGGCTGACACATACGGAATGATGTAGTCAATGTAGACGTTGTAAGGAGCGTTTATCAAGGATTAGCGCTGGTGTGTGCCGAGCGAACTCACCCATGCTTAACCCTGAGATGCGCCCTTTGGAACGTCTACATCAAGTTGATCAGCCCACGTGTGCCAGCTAACTTCACCCGCTCCATACCCGCACTGTATAGAGGGAACTCTGCTGTGCTTTGAATGAAGTCCCTCTCTGTCGATACTTGCCACGGCCTCGATGTTGCACCGTCAGCCCGCGAGAAGAGCTATATTGTCGTGCGGGGCCAAAGGCTGTCGCTGTTGTTGTGTCGACAGCCGTGGCGGCGGCTACTGTATACTTGTGAAGTATGACACAAGATGACATACCCCCAGGACCAATTTTCGAAGCTCGATTGCGCCATGACGAAGAGGATGCATGAATGAAACAATTACATGATCGGAAGGCTCTCGACGAGTCAGCTTCCACGCCACCGTTTACGCCACTGTTAAGTCATTTTGTGTTGTTGAAAAACCGATTTGAAAATCGGTCCCGGCGGTGGGTTTCTCGTGTCATGCGGTATTCCTAGTGCTTCCATTCCTGCTGCAGTCGTTGCCCGCTTCCCGACCTGCCGCCACCAATTATCCTCCACGGCCCTTGTGAACGAAAAGAACGAACAACCGGTTTTTCATCACCGCCATCACGCACACGCTGCTTTGCTGCCCTTCCGCGCCTGATGCACGCAACTACACCCAGACTCAGCTGGACTACAACGTGACCCTTCGCAGTTGTACGACTGCTGTACAAAATCCACACCCCTTACGAAAAGGTTTCTCATGGCCCTGTAACGCATACACTACCACCCTTTCCGCGCGTGAACTACTCCCGAACGCAGTTGGACTACAATGGGCGGCTTAGCCTGGAGCAGTTCGAAGCCCTCATCAAGCCCATCGTAGACCGAATGGACGCTCCCATCTTGAAGGCCCTTGCGGATGCGGGTGTCACGAAGGAGCAGCTCGGTTCGGTGGAGATTGTTGGCGGCTCTACGAGGTGGGGGGGGGAGGGGGG